AGTGCCAATTTCTCTTTAAGTTGCGGGTGCATGTTTTCCACGGCTATGTTCGTCGCTTGAGCATCTGGAATTTGAACATTACAACGACTTTTCAATTGCCGAAAACGTTCAATGTACTCTGCCACCGACTCATCAATTTTTCGCATTGAACTTATTAGATTGAGCAATGTAACTTCAGCCGGCGGACTGTAAAATCGGTCGTGAAACATCCTTTCCAAAACTTGCCATGATTGTACAGAATTTGGCGGTAGTGCCGAATACCAACTAAATGCGGCACCTATTAATGACAATGAGAAGAGCTGAAGTTTATGCCAATCATTATAGCTAGCTTCGCCACATTGTGCGGGGAAACGACTTATATGCTCCACACTAGAACGTCCATCATCGTCTGAAAAAAGTATAAACTCGAGAACTCTAAAATTGCGTGGCAGTGGCATTGTAGCTCCTACCCAATCGGGGTATGGTCGTTGATATGATGGGCGATCTAAAGGGCGTAAATGTTGTCCGAAAACTCTTTGAACGGCCTCTGTTAATGTTTGTGGATCAATCGATGCTTGATTCACCAGTGGAGCAGCGGGTGGCAATGGATGCATCGGAGGTGCCATACCGGCGGCGTTATAATTGCCAGTCGGCGGACCCATTGGCAGCTGTTGTCCCAGATATTGAGGATGTATTTAGGGACCTCCTAGAGCTTCAAATAGGCTTTGCCTCCCAGGTGTTTGTTGTTGTGCTAAAACTCCTTGTGCTGGGAATGAATTTGTAGTGTTACCTCCTGAACCATACATCGGAATCCCAGTGTATAGAATGGCTGGCACCGTTTGCCTCCCGACTCCATTTGGCGACTCCCGCCGGAGCATCTGCACTTGTCCAAACTGTAACGGTCGCACTTCCGATGACGCCGAAGGCTAAAACAAAATATTTGATGGCATTACATTCGAGACTACCCTGACAGCACTGTAGAACTCGGGCTTGCAGTAGATTGTATCATTGGAATGGTATGCCCCGGATTTTTCATTGGCGCTACTGACATTTGGTGTCGTATGGCCATTAGAGTCGAATTCACATTCAGCGCTAAACCTTGCCTTGACTCCTCATATCAAACGGCGGACATTTCATTACAAACGGCCTGCCGGAGAATGTCAGCCAACTGGCGGGACACTTCGTGCATGAAATCTTGAAGGCCAAATTGCAATGTGTATGAGATCTCTTGGCGGATTAAGGCTGTCGCCACCCGCTGAGATGTAGCAATACCTTCCACCAGCGAATTTCCGCCTTATTGCTATGAACTGTCATGGATGGACAACCCCTGGAAAACGTCTGACAATTCATCGCTCTTTTTCCCCTGATTCTCCATATCAATCACTTTCCCGGATCACAACTGCATACGCCGCTGGTCCCACTGGGCGTGCCACTTATGTTGGCCTAGAAATTGATTCTGGCCGAACAATTCTAGTTCGTGAGATATAGTGGGTTCCCGGGCGATTCGATGCGAGCTCCCGGTGGTATCCGATTAACTTTTCGGGAAAATAATTGACTTAACTCGACAACATGATGCACTTGATAACAAATTGTATTGGCTTGAGAAATGTCGATTGCAAAACATAAATTATACAAAAAAATAACAACGGAAAGGAAAATAAGAAACAAAGCAGAAATGCTGCATGAGAGAAGTCGTCCTCTTCCATTGTTCTCTTGCTGTATATTATTGCCTTCTTCCCGAACACTAAAACTGTCACCATCAATCTTCCCTTTAACGAACAATTAAGTATTTTCAACCTTTCGCATTTTATCCCAGCCGTTGCACACACATAACTCCCCAATTTGATCACACTTAAATTTCTTTGAATTGCCAAAAATAATAATTTCCATTTTTTTTTCTTTTAAGAAAAACATATCAACAAATATATATATATTTTAAAAATTAATAATTTTTTTTTGGAAATTCCAAGATAATTATGAAAATTCATTCACATGCTTTGGACACATCCTGTTCGGATTGGGTTTCGAAAATTTTGAAGCAATTCTAAATTACCTCGGAATTTCTGAGACCGCTAAAATGGCCACGAGTTTTACTCTTCCGGCAACAATTCGAGGCTTTTAAAAGAGTAAAATCATTTTTGGTCCCATTCAATATCAAAATTATCAATTTTGGTCTCATTAAAATTATCATTTTTAGTCTCACTCAAATGAAAATTTATCAATTTTAGTCCCAAAATGGTTGACTGGGACTGAACACGGCCGTGTTGTCTTGAACACGGCCGTGTTGGATGACTCAGAAGGTGACTGGGCGTCCCTGGCAGCCAACACGGCCGTGTTGATTACCCTGCACTTCTGAACACAGCCGTGTTACTGCCTGTGTTCTGAACACAGCCATGTTCCTGCCCATGTTCTCAACACAGTCATGTTCTAGACCATGTTCCTGCCCATGTTCTCAACACAGCCATGTTCTAGGCCATGTTCACGACCATGTTTTCAATATAATCATACTGTAGGTCATATTTATTATTTTTTTCACTTTTTGGTTAAAATTATTTGATATATATATTTATAATTTAACAAAAATATTTTTTACAATTATTTTATAATATAAAAAAATCAATTTTTAATATTTTTAATATATATAAAAATAATAATATTTTAAAATAATACTCCCTCCGTCCCACGTTGGATATCTGGGTCACTGTAGACACGAAAATTTAGGATAAGTATAATTAGTAGATAATTAAGAATGTATTAGTAAAAATAATTATCATATAATATAAATAATTATAAATTAAGATTAAAATAACCCATTAGTTTAATTAAATTAAAAAATAGTGTGTAATTATTTTCTAAAAAAAGAAAAGTGACATGGAATGTGAGACGGATATAAACGGCAATGTGGACATGGTAAGTGGGAAGGAGGGAGTATTATTAAAAAATATATATTAATATATTATTATTTTTATATATTTTAAAAATATTAAAAATTTATTATTTTTTATATTATAAAATAATTGTAAAAAATATTTTTGTTAAATTATAAATATATATATCAAATAATTTTAACCAAAAAGTGAAAATAATAATAAATATGACCTAAAATATGATTATATTGAAAACATGATCGTGAACATGACCTAGAACATGGCTGTGTTGAGAACATGGGCAGGAATATGGCTGTGTTCAGAACACGGGCAGGAACACGGCTGTGTTCAGAAGTGCAGGGTAATCAACACGGCTGTGTTGGCTGCCAGGGACGCCCAGTCACCTTCTGAGTCATCCAACACGGCCGTGTTCAGTCCCAGTCAACCATTTTGGAACTAAAATTGATAAATTTTCATTTGAGTGGGACTAAAATTGATAATTTTTTTTTGAATGGGACCAAAATTGATAATTTTGATATTGAATGAAATCAAAAATGATTTTTACTCCTTTTAAAAATAGTTTTGAATTTACTTTAAATTTCGAGGCCAATTGTCCAAGACCGATGGTATTTGTTGTGAATTTATTCCTGGATCAACGGACTTTATTCAAACAATACATCGTATACAAAAACAAAATATTAATAGCGGAAACAAATTCGAATAAATCCAAACTTATAATAAACCAATACCGAAAAGAAATTAAACACTAATAACAAAGACATATTTTGAAAATTAAAACGAAACGAAACCAACACGCCTCAGACGCAATTGCAGAAAACGAAATTGAATTGAAATGAACCTCCATGTTTCAAGTATTCTATGTTCATGTGTTTGTTTTTTCGTTCCCACCACGATGATGACAAAATCGAATTCTTCTTGTAGTTCTCGGCGATGACGATGACTAGCTGCTGACAGCTTTGATCAGCGACCTCCAACGACGATGATTTAGCCGAGCGATTTCCAATTTCAGAATTGAACTCCATGCAACAGCTCCTCCGATCTTCTCCGGCGAGAGGACAAATGAGGACAAATGACATTCGGCTCAGCCCATAGTGTGATATTGGCCCGAGGTAATCACGCCACAAGGTTGGACGTCGGCTCTCACTCCAAGCCTCGACACCCACCGGAATTGGCAATCGAAAAAACTTCTACACTCACTGGAATTCCTCCCCCACTCCCTCTATATCTTAAGAATGAGTTTCACACTTTGGATGAAACTTCCTCTCTCAATAATATGAAACTACCCAAGAAACTAACACTCATTATAACAAACCCAACACCCCCTTCTAATTTTTGGGTAGACACACACATGGATTTGAGTTTGAGTTTGGGTTTGGGTAAAAAATATTGGGTCGATCCGGTAGGCCGAGCTAAGGAATAAACAAATTTATTTTATTTGCCAAGAGACTTGTTGAGTTAGATTTCAAACAACAAAAATTCCCAATATATCTTACCTATTTGATCGTGATTTAACTAAATCGCAAATACATATTTAATAGATATAGACTTACCTTACACAAATAGATTTTATCATCGTCTTTTATTCCTCGCTACATCCACGAATAAACGTTAACACGGACAAGATATATCACTCATAAACTAGATCACATCACATAAACTAAATTATAATACATAAACTAGATTACATAACATAAACTAAATTATAATACATAAACTAGATCACATAACATAAACTAGATCACATAACAACCTACCTAACAATTGAAAAATAATGAATATATAATTATACTTTAAATTATTTTTTATTTAAATAAATAAAATAGAAAAATGACGAAGGTATCAGCCGTCACGCATTACGCATACTCCCGATATATACGTGACAAGTCCATGGACCCCACGCCATGCCAAAGTAAGTCCCACATAATTACCTTAATCCGGGATCTGAAGTCCCGGAGTTAACAACTACACCCGTGGAATTCTGAGGCGTATCTAAAGGAGACTGAACGCTGAAAAGCAATCGTCAACCCGTAAATCTAGAAACAATTAAAAAAAAGAGAAACCCTAGATTGATCCAACGGCTCTCAATGCCTATCAGAATCAGAATACGTACCAATATACGTAATCTCTCTATCTCTCTCCCTCTCACTATTTATGTATATGAGCAAGCGGCATCGTGTGCAGCCAAGCCAGCAATAATTTATTGATTCACACAATCCATGGTTTGGCGCAGACGTCACTGCTTCTTGACATTCTTCGATTTTTAATTTTTTTTAGTTATTTTGTCAAAAGCAAGTCCTTCCATCTATGAATTTTTGCTGATTCTGAAGCGGAGTGATCGAGGAGGTGGAGGAAAGTACATGGGGAAGACGTGGATTCTGAGCTGCTGTTTGTTGCTTTTGGTGTGTATTAATGTGTGTGATTCGGAGGAGCAACTGCCGAATAGCCACGTGATTTCCAGCGTCGCGTATCCGAGCACTCCGCTTGGTCCATACGATTGGCGGTATATTAGAGGTAATTTGAAGGATTGCGGTTTGTTTTTAAGAGGAGAATGGCTTTAAATTGCTATGGGTAATGGTTGGGTTGGTTTTGGTTGTTTGATTGATCGAATGAGTTTGTTGTGGTTGTTTGAGGTGTCTGAGGTTTAAGAATTCGGTAGGCTTGTTCGGAATTTGCCGAATGTATTTTTTTCATTTTCACAGTGAGTTTTAGTTTCTGATCATCGATTCAACGTATGTGTGTTTCACATGGATTGGTAGTTGATTTAGAGGGTTTCGTTTGTGGTTTTATTTTTTTGCTCTGCTTTTACTGTGTTTTAGAATATGATTTGTTAGGCTAGAACGAAATGTTAACATTGTTTGTGTTCACGATGATTCCGAAATTTCATCAGTTATTTTAATCCATTATGGAGTTCGTGCATTTGACATCAAATTGCTCGTTGGCGAATCATTTATAGAGTTATTAGACATTCAGGATTAAATAGTTTGTGCTTAATTTGAAGAATTGTGATTCAAGGAAGTGTTTAAGGTATGTTTTGGATGTGATATAGAACACACTGGATTTTTATGTTGAATGCATTAATGTTTAGGTACATTCCTTTGAGTTGGATTGTTTTTAGCGTTTATTTACAATTTTTCATTGTCATGTTGGTGTCTGGACTGGATCCCGGAAGGTGTATACTTTTCAAGGATACTTGGTTTGATATTTATATTCTGAATATTCCAAGCAAACCCTGAAATAGGGATTGCTTTGTTCACCGTCTACATTTTAAATTGACATATTGTATGTTATAGTCCTGTACTATGCCTTAATTGTTAGGCACTTCTGCAAGATTGTAAATTGAGTAATATTACATGGATATCTTTTCAACTTGGTGGGAACACAGTAGGTGGAATGATCATGCCTGGTTGCTTTAAAATTAATTTTAGAATGCTATATCTGTACTTGGCTTTGTCACTAGTCTAAAGATGCAAGGTGTTGCTATAAAGATCAGTCTGTGCTAGATTAAAGCTGACTTAACAACTACATAATTTCAATTTTCTGGTCTCACTGCAGTTGATTTGCCGCCATGGTTCTCTTCGTTGTCTCTAGCACTGGAAACAGATGTTGACCTTGTAAGTTTCCATTGAGAGTGAAAACGTGCAATGTTATTATCATGAATTTCTCTTCTCCAGAATTTTCAGTTCCCTAACAAAGGGTTTTGAATTTCCTTCTACAGAATCTCAATGAATTCAAGAAGACACCTGTAGGTTCTCTGGCTATAATCTGCTTCCGAGATGGGAGCCTCCCTCTGCCTGATATCCACAACACTTCTGAAATGGGTCTAGGTAAACTCATGGTGAATTCAAATGTATTTAATGAATTATCTCCTGAAATTTATGTTCCTATTCACATTTATGCTCCGCGTGACTATGATTTTGACCATAAAGATTCAAATATTGCAGTGATGGACTACATCTCGAACGATTCTTTTGTTGGGAACCAAAGTCTTCAAAATTTTGAGAAGTGTTACCCATTGCAGAAGAATATATTTTTGAGAGTGACAAATGAGCAGGTTTATAAGCTTTGGCTGGTTAATATTCCTCTATAAAACACTGATAAAAATTCTGTACATAGGCTAATTGTCTAACAGATTTTCCCAGGTACATGGTATTTTGGGATATTTAATGGTGTTGGACCTCTGCGGACACAGTCTAAAATGGTACATTAACAATTTCCTATGTTATTGTAGCTTTAGCCATGGACACTCATTGAACTGATTGCAGTTAGTGTTCATGCTTTGTATTCCAGATGTGATCTGAATTTTTCATATGATCTTTCTAAACTAGTAACATCCATTGTTCACTTACAGCTCGAGCGAGGCCATTCATTATTATTTAGTGCGAACATAAGTGTGGAGGGGTGCTCAAGCTCCATGATGTCGGGAAAGTTCTGCAACCAAACAGTGAGCATGCTTTCATGTAATGCCAACTATAATTTAACTGGAATTGGCATTAAAAATGAAACGTATAGAGCTAATGGAAGGAATGTTATTGCTTGTGGAAATGCCAATGGAATATCTTGTCATGAAAATGCCAAGCCCAAAGTCTACTTATTCGATGCGGAAAACATTGGGGAAGAGATACTGATTTCAGCAGCAAATTTGACATTCAGTCAAGCGCAAAATTCAATTATTACTGTAAGCCATTCTTTGCTCTGTTATGCCAGATATGGTGCAATGCCCCTTGAAACAGTTTATGACTTTTCTGGTGATATTAGTTGGGCCCCTTTGGTACTTCAATTCCCCAAAGCTGGTCGTTGGTATATTATTGTTCAATCCATCGATAGCTCAACAAAAAGTCTGGGAATGCAAAGTAATATCTCGAGAGTGTGTTATATGTTGGAGTGGCAAGTGCTTCAGTGTCCTATGGGCAAGGCTGGATTAAAATGCACATCTGAAAGACATATGCTTGAGGTTTGTTTTTCTAGAACCCTTCTAAGACGACGTCTGCATTTTTGATAGTTAAATCAATCCTTAGGTCGTTAATCTTGAAATTCTGTAACAAACAAATGCAGAGAAGCTTATGCATGAATCTTTATGATTGACTAACAGAGAGAGATTGTCTGCAGGCTGTGATTCAGAAAGACCAGTTTCTCCCTTTTGAGTCCAATTACTTGCCAATAACGAGAAATGCATCATCATTGGATTCAGCCTTTTTTCATTTGGAACCTCTTCTGAGCAGCTTCTCCCATGGAGATAGTCACAATGGTAGTTGGACCTTTTTCATCTTGGACATTCCGTCCGGTTCTGCCTTAGGAAATATCCACCTCCATCTTACTTCCAACCTTATGCAAAATTATGAAATCTATGCCAGATATGGAGGGTTACCTTCTCTCACTAGCTGGGATTACTTCTATGCTACCCGGACAAATAGTAACAATGGCTCCACATATCTAAAGATATATGAGTCAACAGAGGACACAGTTAGTTTTTATATACTATATGCGAGAGTAGGAACATGGTATTTCGGCATTAGACAACTCAATCCCACTGATGCAAGCAGCAATACTGCCATCTCCTTGTCAATAGAGAGCTGTCCGAACAAATGCTCATCCTTTGGACGGTGCCTGTCTCGTTTAGACGCCGGAGGTCTCATCTTATACAGGTTTAATACAAATTCTTAAGCATGTTATTTCAATAGTAGGGCAACAAACTAACAGTTCAATCTTCCAATCAGCTACTGCCATTGTGATCTGGACCATGGAGGTTTCGACTGTAGTGTCGAGATTGTCTCGCATAAATGTAAGTCATTTTGATAGATATCAAGATCGAAAAAGATATGAAGTTAAGAATAAAGAGAAAGTGGAGTTTCGGCCGTTGCTTGTATATTGACGATAGGGATGGGTGAGGCCTGTTATTCGCAGGTTTAGATTTTATTTATTTATTTTTCAAGATATTATATTTTGAGTTGGGCTTTTAGGTAGGTTTATTTTATTTTTAGTGAGTAATTATAAGCATTTAAAGACACTAAGGGGAAAGCACATGGCTCCTATATCATGAATAATGTTCTCCAAACCCTAATAGTCTCTTTAAATATTTATACTAAACACTACTTACAAAAAATAAAATAAGTCTAACTAATAATTAAGGGGCAAACTCAATTCAAAATATAATATCTTAATAGAAAAGTAAATAAATAAAGTCTAAACCCGCGAATATCAAGCTTAAGCTCATCCCGTTGTTGATATACAAGCACTAGCTGCTGTTTATGTTTATTCTTAACTTCATGTTCGTTTCGATCTTGTGCTCTATCACATTTTAGGCCAAACATTGCATAGTGTATCTCTGATTTTTGTTTTCTTCTTTAAAGGCTCAGCCACATATAATTAGGTGTTGCTAAGATGCATACATGCACACGACCACACATATAATTCGACAACGTAAACTTGTGCAGGGCAAATTGTACACTCTATTTTTCTGGTAGCATCAAATGCTGCTTCTCTGTTCCCGGCATTTTGGGCACTCCGGAATAAGGTATTTTGCCATGACAGAAACAGCATTTTTGTATTTTTTTCTGGAATGTTCATAATGCTTTTGTCGAAATTCAATCTTCTTCTCTAGGCATTTGCAGAATGGATTCTCTTTACGTGTAGTGGTACAGCCAGTGCAGTGTATCATGCCTGTGATTCGGGTGCCGGCTGCCTATTAGGCTTCCATACCTTACAGGTAATGGCTCAATTCCTCTGCAGTTGGGATCTTTGTTTTTGCGGATATCCAATTCTGAGATTTTATGCTTCAGTTCCTCGACTTCTGGCTCTCTTTCATGGCCGTCGTGAGTACTTTCATTTACCTAACCACCATGAGTGAAGCTTCTAAAAGAACAATCCACACCCTCGTTGCCGTCCTGACTGCCCTCATGGCTCAGACAGATCCCACCAGGTATTTATTTGCTCTTACAGCCATGGATTACGTTTCTGATGTGGCTGAAATTGACTATGGCATGTATATATATGTTTGCAGGTCCAAAAACATCAGCATTGTGATGGGACTAGGAGCTCTCGGCCTCCTCATCGGGTGGCTTGTTGAGTTTTGGACCCATCAAAAGTCGACAACTGTTCCAAGAGAAGATCGTTGGGATCTTCTTCGAAGGTCAGCGAATTTTTGTCATTGAGCTTTTGATTTTGTCAATAGTGCCTCTATGCTTATGCTTATCTTCAAGTCTTTGTTCGATGGTGGTGTTTTTCAAAGTTCATTAATCCATGATACAAAAACTTTCCACTTGATTCAACAGATGGAACATTTTTAAAGGATGGATCCATAACATTTTCAAGACAATCAAGAAGCGGTATGTTGGCGCAGGGTTTTTGACACTGGCTCTCGCCGTGGTGTCTTGGCAAATGGAATCCTTTGAAACATATTGGATTTGGCACAGGTATGAATGTATGTATGTATGTATGTATGTATGTATGTATATATATATGCCCTTCGTTCATTTGTGCAAAATCCATCTTATGCAGTTTATGGCACATTACTATCTATACTTCTTCCTTCTTTTTCCTATGCGCAAAACCGAGCACTGAAACAGCAGAGGCAACTACGCCTGCGAACTATGAACTCACTCGACAGGCTTCATTCAACGAAAATGAAGTTAGACGCGAATGATAAATGTTGGCGCATTTTTTGTCGCCGGTTGTGCTAAAGATTATATTTAGCTTACAGATGAGATGAGATGAGATGGATGGTGGCAACACAACATAGCACAGCAGGTAACAATAGATAGATAGATAGATACTTAAGAAGAATTCCTCCATCTTCTTATATTGCTATTGTTGCTTTCATTCGTTACAATATATTTTGCATATTCTTCCAGTATATATATGCACAAAGCTTGCACACACACACACATATATATATATATAAAAGTTATTGCCCATGTTCTCTTGGTTCACTTTTTTAGTTTTTTTGGTTATTTCTTGAAACTTTTAGTAAAATATTCACTATTTATTCTAGTAAAATAAATACCATATTTATATATTAATTTATTTAAGTGAACACAATTGTTCTCTCATAATGCTAAACTTTTTGAAACGTCTTATTATTATCTCATAGATTGTATAAAGGATCGGTTTGATTGTGATTTTAATATGAAATATCATTCCGTTTTCTTTTTATTCTTAATAAAATATTATATTAAAATATTTTTCTTAAAAAAATTTCAAATCAATATTTTATTTTCAATTTCAATCAAACAAATACATTTGGGCAGGAATCATAGCCGCAATTTTCCTCAGTCCCATCTAATATAATGTATATTATGTATATACATAATATGTATTTATGTTATATATATTTTATATATTACATGTACATATTATAAAGGAGGTGAATCCGGTGCTCATGCGTGCACCTTACTAAATAAATTTGGATGATTTAAATTGAATAGGAGTAGGATTGGTTTTTTAAGTTTAAAAAGAAGTTAAATGGTGAGTTTATACGTACGTAAATCTCTTTTATTTCTCTACTCCCTTTTTCTCTTTTGCGATAGACTGAATTGCGCCGACAACCGCCAGTGCAGTGCCTCCCCAGCCCAGGCCCTAGCCGCCACCATCTTTTTTTTCTCTCTCTTCTTCTCTGTGTATCTCTTCCTTTTTTTTTTTTTCTTGTTTTTTTCTCCGAACAGGTGATCACCAGTTGTCCAGATTACTGCCGAAAATCGCCGAACCACCATCGTCGCCCAATTGACCCGCCGCGAACCCAAGTTTATTTCGACATTTTCTAATATGATATTTTGATACTTTTTTTCTGTTTGGATATTAGTTTAAATCAATAGTGTATATGAAAATATGTTATAGTGTTTTTTTTGGCAATTTTTAGATAACACTCGTAATATTTGTTTGATAGTACAGTAACATGCTAAACACAATACATGGAGACGCTTGTTCGAAAGTATGTTTAGAATTTATTTTTTGTGGCATTTTTTTGGATAACATTTATAGTATTTGATAATACAACAACATGTTAAATATAATAAACAAATATGTTTATTGATATTCAGTAAAATGCTTAGTTTAGTATATGTAAATACTTATTATACGATGTTCATAATATTTTGTGATTAAATCATGTGCACAAAGGCTAATATGTTGTTGACATTATTGTTTCCTTTAGTTCTGAAGCAATAGCCAAATTTTGATCCGTAAAAATAATTTTTGGTGCATGACCACTCATGTACTTAAAAAGATATTGAAAACCCACTTGAATGAATTTTGTGTTTCTTCATACAATAACGTTGCCCCAAATATAGATGTTTGGCGGTAATTATTAAATCATAAGAAAACACCTAATGTTGCCCAAATATAGATGTTTGGCGGTAATTATTAAATCATAAGAAAACACCTAATGTTGCAGTATTGTTACAATCCAATATATTCAAACAATTTACGAGATGCTTATGAGATACTGTGTACATTATATCAAGATGTTGATTTATAAAAGATGAAATGCTGAATAATGGAAGATGAAATATTGACTACTGAAGTATTGTGTTTGGTACGAATCGTTTTTGAATAATGGATAATTGATTTTGCTTGTCTCCATCAATTTTATCCATTAATTTTGTTGGAAGAATCTTAGTCATTTTTCTAAGTAAGGAGACGAAGGAGAATGTAGATCTAAGTTAGTTATAAAAGTTAAAAAAATTTAAAAATTACTATTAAACCCCTAAATTAATACAAGCCTTGGTATTAAAAATTGTGATCCAATGGTTAATATTGAATTAGCATCATGCTAAACTTTATAGTTCAGCATTTAATCCCAGCCCTATTATAATATATCACTGAGGCGGATCCGGTGATGATGTGTATTATGATAAATTAGATTGAAGAGGAGGAAGATCGTCTTTTTTAGTTTAAAAGTTGGTCTTGTAAATATGTGAAATATGCATATATTCGATGCTAAAATATATCAAACCATATACTGATGTTTCATTATAAAATGCTTTCCTATAAATTGTAAGATTCTAAGATATTTAAACTCATCAAATATGGTGTCTTATACCATAATATAAGATGTTTACCTATGCATCCGTAAATACGGAAGTTAACATAAGAATGTTAATTTATTTTATTTAATAGTAATTTTGATGTTCTAATTTAAATATGATTGCTAATACAGCCTTACTATATTCTTAACACGAGATTCTAATAATTTGGTTAATATCTAAATTTTGAAAAACTATGAAAACATTAATACAATTATATAAATTATTATTTAACTTGGACTAAATAGACCATAATCCAATCATAATAAATTGAATCCAGTAAATCAATCCAATAAATTATTTTTTCCATAAATAAATAGTAAGATGTAGAGTTTTATATTTAAATTTTTGAATTCTTTTTTATTCCATTGAAAGATTTTGAGTTCTTTTTTCTAATGAATGTAATGTTGGATAGAAAGAGGAATATGCATGGAAGGAGGAAGGAGAATAGATGATCGAAATATTTATATAAATTAGGAGAATTAGAAAATTACAATTAAACTTCCAATTTTATACAAACTATTGGATTAAAAATTGTAATATGGATATTCAATCCGTATAATATTAAATTAGGATACGATGCCTTCATTTGGTGTTGGTGATGTGATTTTTTTTTAAAAAATAATCTTTTGTGGGCCCACTGTTATATATTAGTACTATTTACATAAGAAGGATACTAATTAATTTTTTTTGCTATAATTATATTTGTATAATTTATAGACTAATAAATTTATTTTTGTTTGTTTTTTTCTCTAAAAATTAAATAGATTATTATAGTAAATTTATTAAAAAGTTATAAATAGAAAAATAATGATAAATTAGTTATTATTTGTTAAATTAATAATAATAAAATTGTGGATTAGATAAAAATTATTTACTATAAATCGATTGTGTATTATCATATTTGTTTGGTTATATTTTTGCTATATTTTGAAACTAATAAATTCTGATTTAAAATAATTATTTAAATTTATATAAATATAAATATTGATGTGATGTATATAAAAAATAAATAATCATAATATTTTACATAAAAAATTATTTTAACTCCTCGAAACATGATCATTTACTTTAATAATAGAGTTTATATTTACTATAAAATTTTAGACAAAATAGCATAAGACCTCATGTGATTTTTAGAAATTGCTGAAAATTCAAAATAGGTGTAAAATTGCAAAAAAAGATCTACTGATAGTTTCTAAAATATTGCAGGAAAACTCCAATCTGCTAGGACTTACAGGTGGTTGTATGTCTTGAAATACGATTTATGTATTAATAAATTGATATATATCCCCCTTCACTATATTTCACAGCGTCTTCCCCCTTATTCTTCTACAGATTCTTAGAAATTAATCTCTTAGAATTAACCTTAATTTTATGTTTGCTAAACACTTCACCGGAAAATTGTGCTCTTGGAGCTACCAAAAAATGGGAAAAAATGAAATTTGAAATTGATCTCCAAATTTATGACACAATTAATCGAACAAAGACAAGAATGCCGTAAGCAATTTCTCGCTGTCGATTTTGGGGAAGCTGAAATAATAAGTGGTTCCAAATATTCTCAGATTGATGTAGTAGACGGAAAAGATAAAACCGTTGCCGTGTTTTTGTATTACAATAATGAAGAAGGATAAGAGAAAGAAAAAAGGAGAAGAAGACAACGATGTCAATGACAATGATTATGAACTCGCGCCTATTATTTCTCTCTCCAATTCCAAATTCAAAATCTCAATTTCAATTAGAAAAATAGGAATGTGTGGCCACCTATGTTTTCTCACCATCCCTTTCTCATTTCACCCCACAATTTTCTCCCTTGTGCAGTTGTCTTCTCCCTTCGTGTAATCTTGCCAATTTCTTTATCCGTTTCATCTAATCCAACAATCAAACTTTACTCAAACTTTATACAAACAAAAATTACAAAATTCAACGGTAAATCCTTTTTCATTTTTTTTTTACTCTGGCTTCCAAAAATTAGAATATCCTTATCCAAACAGACAACAACGATGGAGAGTTGAGAATGTGGTGTGTGCGTGTTTTCGGTGCTTATGTTGACAATATAAATAAATATAGATATAGTATTGTATATGTGGGTGTGTGATTGAAGTTGGGAGGTAAGTGGAATTAAATACCGATAGTCTTCAATTATTAAAATCTTAGTAAGGGCATAATTATCCACATGTGCTAAAGTTTAACATCGTTAGTGAAATTCAGAATTAGGGGCAAGTGTGCAATACTTTGAAAACCACGAATAGGTTATATAAAATTTCATAACCAAAGAATTTTTAGTAAATTACGAAAAAAACTACAAAGGTTTTATATGCTATTTTGCTAAAAATTTAATACTCATTTGAAAAGACTTTAAATAAGGTAGCATGTTATTGTAAATAAATAATTAAAATAAACAATTGAAAATACCATTAAACAATCAATATATTTTAATTTTGGCATTATATAATTTTAATAAATTTTTTAATATATACGATATCAACCCATATTAGCACTATACTTTCGATTTTTTTTCAATTTTTTTTAAAAAAATTATATGATATATCATCCACTTCAAATTCATTCAATATTTTCTATTTTTATTTTTAATAAACAAATATATTTATTTACATTCAAAACTCTTTATTTATTTGTAAACTTAAGTTATATTAATCATATATAAATATTTATATATATTTTTATTTATTTGTATTATCTAAAATTTTATTTTTTATAAAATGATATTTATAGTATATATATTATTAAAATATAATTTAAAATAATTAAATATATATTTTAATTGTTTTTAACCTTATATATACATCACAAATCAAATAAACAATACTAATTAAATAAATTACTTTTAATCCAATTTTCAACTAAAAAATTCAACCAATAAACCAAACGCATCCAAGATTTTACGACTCTCCCATCGGGAGATAGATGATTTGTTTTCCTTTTTAATCTGATTTAAAACAGATGACATGCTTATATTTTTAATAATTTTATTCATTTTAAATATATTTAATAAATATAAATCAATTTAATTGAATTTCTAACTACGTAAGATCCACTCAAAAAC